ACAGCGAAAACAGAGCATTTAATGACATGTTCTCTTACTGGACCTCTTTGAAATGCAATTGAATACCCCTGCATTATAGCAACAACAACAATAATAATAATAATAATTGGGAGGGGGGGCGCGGCTGTTCTTATGTTGTCTGAAGTGTTTTCACACTTTGAAAACCCCTGACTAGGGGATGTGTAAGGGCTGACCCAGCTGTAGATTTCTCACATGAGCATTTCACCCTCTTCCCCTCTGTGTTTGTCTTTTCTCGTAGCCCAATTTGCACTCCACATCGATTTAATTCAGTTTGCCGAATCCCATTCTTGCTCAGGCTGTTTTTGTTGATCTCTAGTGTTGGCCTTTAGGTGGAGTGGAGAGGACATTTTCCTCTGTGTGAGGTTCCGTTAAACAAAGCAATTAACCTTCTGACGGAGAACACAACTCCCTGCTATGCTTATGGAGATCTGACTGTGAGGCTTCTGTATACCTGAGGGGTAATGTGTGTGTGTGTGTGTGTGTGTGTGTGTGTGTCCCCTTCCTTGGTATGCCAATGAACATGCTAATACCAGTAGCTAGGTCAGAGTATAGAGCTGTGGGCAACTTATTGAATACAAATGTTTGAATTTTAAGTTTATTTGAGTTTGTAAACATGTACAGTGTGCATGCGTTAATGTTCAAAAAGCTCTTTATTTTTCTCATACTGCCTGTGCTGCAGCACCTCTTTTCACCCTCTGTCTGAAACCAGAGCCCAGTCTGCTCTGATTGGTTAGCTGACCGGCTCTGTTGTGATTGGTAAACTTAGATGTCTCATTTCTCCTGTGTTAAAAAGCATCATGATGATGGCGAAAATTAAGTTCTATGCCTTATCGTTGATGTTTTTCTTCAACATACAAGCTTTTCTTTAAGAACGGAAGGAGGGAAGCCTACTTCCTGTCTCAAATTGAAAAAGTATTCACTGCAATCACAGCTCATCTCTGAGAGCTGTTCATTATCAGACATAATGTCATTTAGCAAGACAGGCATGACCTGCAGGCAGCTGGAGCTGGGATACGATGGTTCCTGTGTCACTTTGTGCTTTTTTACATAATTTTTTTCCGGAACTCTTTGAATTCTCTAGTTCTCCATAAAACTGACAGAAGCCTCCTGTCACAGGGTATGGATGGAGCAGAATGCTGAAATAAAGCTGATGTAATATACTGCGAAACAAAAATCTAAAAGGAGCAGGCTAAGGTAGCACAAAACAAAAGCAACAAGAACAAGAAAGAAACTGGGATGGCACGAGAAACACAGGAAGCTAATTCACAGTTAACACATGTGAAAATCACAGGTAACATTTCAAGCAATGGGAAACATTGACGACGGGCTGAAAGAGAACACTGGGAAAGACAGGCATATATAAACACAGACCCAAATCCCATTGACAAGGCACACATGGGGCAGATAATCACAAAGGCGGAAAAACATAAAGACAGGAAGTCAAAGCAGGCAAGAAACAAGGAGAGAAAACCTAAAAAATAAATAAAACTGGAAACACAAAAAACAAATCTGAGTCTGTTCAAGTGGAGCTCCCTGTCTGAGTATCTAATTGTTTTAATACTTTATTTACAATAATTCCCTTAAATACAAATGCAAACAATAATATTATTAATTGGAGGGAAACCATGATAGCCTGCATCTTGTTGTAGTATGTTTTAGAGAACATAACAGCAACTGAACTGAATTACTAAAAGACAGAAGGCTTTTGCTTGTTTCTCTATTTCTGTAATCACTCCTACTCTGTAAAGTAGGAGTCTAATAAACATACCTTCCAAAGGTATTTTTGTAGAAACAAACCAATACAAGTTTAAAGACGGGTGTGCCATTATCTGTGAAAGGAAACAATAATTGGACGTTAGTCTAATAACAATAAGATCTAAAAAAACTTACCTACAGAACTAAAGTTAAGCGGCGTTAAAAACTGTAAAAGTACAGATTAATAATCAGCTTTGGAAAATAGTGACAAGTGTTGTTGAAAACATGTTTTCATTATACATACACAGCCCATCATTTCCACTCTGAAATTATTTTGTACTTAATGGTGTGTCTCTGTCCCTGTCCAGGTAATCGCCCCTGCATCGTGCTAACATGCCGTGTCCACCCAGGAGAGTCCAATGCCAGCTGGGTGATGAAGGGCACCCTGGAGTTTCTGTGCAGCAGTGACCCGGTGGCCCAGAGTCTGAGGGAGGCCTTCATCTTCAAGATCATCCCCATGCTCAACCCCGACGGAGTCATCAACGGCACGTGAGTGTGGGGAGGCCAAGGGACCCACTGACAAGCAGTGGATGGAATAGAATAATAATCGAGTACCTCCTTTAATTAAACCTTTAGTATTGTACAGATTAGTCTTCAGCATCCTCTTGTTTTTTTTTCAGTTCATTGCTCCAAGAACTTCATTCAAAAATCTCATAATACATGCCCTCTCTCTTCTGTGGTTTGTCCCTGCAGGAATCGCTGTGATCTGAACGGTGAGGATCTGAATCGTCAGTGGAGTAAACCAGACCCCGTCCTTAGTCCAACCATCTATCACACCAAGGGCTTCCTCTACTACCTCAACAGTATAGGACGGACTCCACTGGTGAGACATGTGAACCTTTAAACTACTAATGTCATTTATCCGAAAATATTGTGGTTACATCAGTTCTAAAATCTCTCCAGCTTTCCCCTGAAATCAGATTGAATGGTTATAGTGTTTCGGTTTGTAAATGCATTAAATCTTCAGCACAATAGATGATATTAGTGAGTGGATGAGGTGCTGGCCTATGTATCCCTCAACTTTGGACACAGAAAGGGCAGCTGTTTCTCCCTGTTTCCAGTCTTTAGGCTAACCACAACACAAATACTTTATTCAAGAGTGATATCAATCCGAACATCTAACTCTTTGAAATGTCCTTAACCTTCAAACAGCGAAAAGCTTGTGCTCTTTCAAATATATTGTGATCCACACATGAAAAACATGAGGCTCTTGGAGACTGTTCTAACCAGAAAAAAAACTGCCGTGCTGTTCCAACAGTGTCTAGTGAATCATGCACATGCGAGAGGGGGGTTGTTTGCTTTTCTCAGGAATAGTGACATTGAGAATATAATCACATAGTATATACTTGTTCTAACCGAAAATAGGTCATTTGTATAATTTGTGTATTTCAGACAATTTTCCCTTTGTTACCTGTCCAATTATTGGGGGCGAAGGATAATCATAATAATTATAGCTTACACACAAATGTAAAGCTTTTATATTCCAAATTCAGAGCAGAGGTATTGTCTCCACACGGTGAACATGGCTTAGCCAGGGGCTAGCAGCTAATGGTGCTAACAGCTAACACTGCTAGTGTTACGCCCCTGATAAAAGAGAAGAATTTTGACAAGAGTCAAAGTTAGGTTTCATTCTCCGGTACTTTACTCGAGTCAGTCAACAAATGCAACACCTTTCAATACAACTTGGCTATTAACACTGTATTTCAATCATGAAACTTCTTAATTACCACAATATCATTGATAAGATTATATAATTGACAACATATTACATATAACTGTGTCCATACACAATACACAAGATGGCGGCAAATGCAACACCTTTCAACAGCACATACAACTTGGCTATTAATACTGTATTTCAATCATGAGACTCCTTAATTACCACAATATCATTGATAAGATAATATAATTGACAACATAGCAGAACCCTCACAGAATTATTTAACTAAAATATAAAGACAACATATTAGATACACAATACACAAGATGGCGGCAAATGCGCGCTACGCAGTGTTTGTTCATGAAGACGTTACTACACACATTCTCGGCTATCACACACATCAGCCCAAGCTGATAAAACGTAATAATAACACACTCAATATTTCACACAACCACTTTAAAACACTCCTTACACATGTTATGTTATAGTTTGGCCCAATTTTGACAAGAGTCAAAGTTAGTTCATTCTCCGGTACTTTACTCGAGTGAGGAAAGTACCGCGAAACCCCCCAGATATGTGGGTGGTGTTAGAAATTAAAATCAATGTTTTGATGGTATAATGTAGCCCTTAAACATACCGTCCAGTTTAAACGCTCTTTTATACTGAAAAACCAGAAATTCTTTGTGCCACAAGCACTTTAAGCTTTTATTTCTGAAAATCCTTCATCACGGTTAGCATTTTAGCATGTGCTAATATACGATTCCTAAAAGAGGTGAATTGAGTAGCGAGAATGACATGGAGTGGTGCCAAACCGAAACTACTGATTTAACACTACAACTATACGATGTCGAGATACTACCATGCTGATATTAAATGGAAAGTACAGTTTATTTGAACATTATTGTTTACAGACGAGAGTAGCATGTGGAACAACATCCGAAACCCAAACCAGCCGTCGAAGTATGTTTCTGTATGTTTTAGAGTATTGATTACAGCGTAGAATGTGGTTACATGAAAAGTGATGAAAGAGATATGAGGAGAAAAGGCGTGTTAAGCATATGTTGAAGGTGAAAAGTACCACAATCCTCTGTTTAAATGCAACAACCGACCATTAGAGGCGGGCGAGCCGGCTGGCGGGGAGGAGCCAGCAGAGGATATATAAAGGCACCGATCGGGGGATGGGCCTTCTCTTCTTGCTCAGGAGAGCCAATCCACAGCTGTTTTCTGCCGGACAATATCTGTCTGTAACACTACCCGCGCCTTTTTTAATTAAAGATCCCATTTGAATCTTTTAGAGACTCCATTTAGTCCTCATTTTAAAGCTTCCCTCCAGGGGGGGGGGGGGGGGGGGGGGGACGCA